GAAAACAAAGGAAAACAGCTTACAAAGATTCTGAGAAATGGAGGAGGTGAAATAGCAACAGAATTGGAGAAAGTCAAGGAAATATGAGAAGCATTTTATAATCCAAGAATATTTGGTGAAGGACACCAAGACATGTTTTTAAGCATGGGATAAGTGCCAAAAATATTCTATATTATAGATGTGGTCCTTATAATTTTGTCTGTGTTGACATTTATCTTTCCTTCCTCTGACTCTGTACCTTTTTGCTTATGTTTACTTTTTTAAATCTCAGGTTTTATATTAATTCAATGGTGTTAGATATTTTTCTTAAATTTTTATAGAAATATTTGTTCATCTTTCCTATTATGATAGAATATAAAAATTAGATCCTATTGGTGGGTCATCGGCTCTTTCTTACTCATTACTCATCTCCATGTGCTCAATTTAGCTGTTACGTTTTATATCTATACCTACATATTACCTGAAGTCTTATAGATTATAAATCTTTTGGTAGTTGTCTTTGTAAATCTGTGTTTAAAAATATCACCCACAGTACTAGTAGTAGGCAAATTGGGTTTTGGTCTTGACCTCTCATTTTATAACCTGGGAAAAATATATTCTCAGGGCCTCAGTTTACTCATTTACAAAATGAAAGAGTTGGCTCTAGGCAGAAGCCATGTTGAATCAGATAAGAAACACCAATGATTCCAGCTTAAAAAGTAAAAATGGAGAAATTATTAAAGGATAGGTGATTACAGCTCTCAGAATTTGGGGAAAAGTTGATAGGTTTTGTTCAAACCAGAGTATCAACAGTAGTTAACATGGATATTCTTTCAAGGGTGTTATAAAGTGACTTGACTCCAACTACCTTCTATCTCTTTTAAAGGTTTTAGATTTCAGGGAAGAGAATCTGATAGGTCCAGTCTAGGGCAGTCAACCATGACCAAGGGAGATTAGTAGACCAGACATATTTATTGTGAACTGATCAAACACCCCATATTGCATTTCCCTCATGCATCTTATTCCAGTTGGTGCCTATAGATTGAGGGCCTCAAACCTAGTATTCCATCCTACCTGAACCTAGCACCTTAGTCACAAATCCCTCCCTGCTGTTCCCTCTCAGACTCCCATTCCTGACCAGTTTTGCCCTGTCACTCCAGCTGTCACTTTCTCTGTTGGCCCCCTTGACACAATCTCTTATCTATTTAACTTTTTCTTCAGATGCTCTTCCTACTGCCTCACTTTAACTGAATCCTGGTTTCTATCAATATATTCTTTTCACTCTTTTTTTTTTTTTTTTTTTTTTTTTACATCTTTTCCCATTCATGGAATTAGAAATGATCTTACTCTGTTTCCAGTTCAGTCTCTTCTTTTTAACCCTACATTATTAACTTAAGCTGCCCTAACCCTACTCCTGACCTCACTGACCTGCATACTTTAGTGATTCAGTGCCTGTGCAGGCCAATCTTTCTTTCTTCCCAATCCCTGTTTAGACATACATTGGCATCCATTGTTCATAGAGTGCTTTAACTCAGTTTCAGTGACTGCCCCTTCCATTCCACTTTTCCCATTGACAGTTGAAAGTGATCATAATCTCCAGTTCATTCTACTTGTTTTTACACTTACTTCTTATTCCATCAAGACATCTGGCCCCTTTGCTTGTCCTTACTTGCCTCAGTTGTTAGCTCATGTGGCTTTTCTGTTTATGTTGACTTCACCCCAGATTCCCTTTCTCTGGTACCTTCCTTCCTAAGCCCTGGTGGATTGTTTGTCTTGTCTTTTTCTTGCTCACCCCATTTCCCATCAGAGTGACCTTATCAAGAGTGGTTTGTCTGCTCTGAAAGTTCTGATTTTGCAGTATTGGTAATGAAAGGGTCATCTTTGATTGGAGTTATAAACGTGAGAGCTAGATAGAAGGATGTGGTTACCATTAGTAGAATTTGAACCCTTGGCCTTGTAACCATGTTGTTTCTTCCCTCTGCCATAATCACTCTGCCCCACAGTCTGGGGGCAAAACAGGGAGTAAGTACCCCTTTGCTGTTGGTAGTGGCACTTGGGGAAGGGGACCTCTTAGTTTTCCGTGCATGTGAGTGTCCTAGCTAAGTCAGAGGAAGATGACAAATATGTGCTACTGTTGTGTAATCTGTGTAATCTTTAGTTGTGCACATATTTGCTCAAAGATACTTCTCCTATTACATAATGTGTTTTAAAAAACAGAATTCTTAAGTCCTGTTTTACTTTTGGCATTTCTGTTACACAGACATAGGTATTTAGCAATTTATTCATTTGTTCATTTACTCACCTAATATTTATCTAGCTAGCTCTTTCTATGGCCAGGCATCATGGTAGCTATTAGATATACCACAGTCAAAAAAAATATGCCTGCATGGAGCTAACTGTCTAGCAGGTAGGCAAATAGAAAATAATCATGTGAATATATGTTTAACTGCACATTGTGAAAAAGCACAGTGAAGGGAAAGAAGAAGGTGCTGTGCGAAAAGGGGGTGCAGAGTTGAGGTTGGGTAGGCAGGGAAGAATCTGAGGAAGTGGCCTGTGAGCTGTTAGCTGTAGGGTGTAAGGAGGAAAACCCAGATCTGGAGTTCTTGTGAGTGTAGTTCGAGAATTTGGATTTTTTTCTGAGTGGAAACATTGAAGAGAATGGCATGCTATGACCGAGAGTTTAAGTTTATTTATGTTTGTTCATTTATGTTTTAATGATGCAGGGCAACTATTTTGCTCTTACATAATCAGTAAATGGTATGATGATGGTGGTGGTGATGGTGCCTGATAGGTAAATATTTGGGAAGCAACATGGTTTAAATTTAGCAACATTACTGTGGAAAGCTCTTCATCATGGTTTTCCTTTTTTAGATTGTGCTGTATGGAAATCTCCTTTTTGGATTACTTTTACTTCTAAAAAGTAACTGAATATCACTTGGTTCCAGTAGGCATATTTCAGGATGGAAAGTATCAGTGGTCTTAAAATGATAATTTAGAGGAAAATTAGGGGTATTTAGTGTGATTTGTATAACCGGGGTTACTCTTTAGCTGTTACAAACAGCTGGAATGGCTCTCCTGGTCGATAAGATATTGAAAGTCTTCCTTATCAGTCAGTGAATAATGTAATGGCAACTGTGCGAAGTGATATAATTAATACATAAATTTCAATGTAAGCTCTTTAGTTCAAGCTAATTTTGTAAGCTGTTAGTTGGGTTTACAGTTGAAGCACTCACTATCTCTGTTTATCTAGCCTGGATCTTGGGGGTAATGGATGACATATTCCCCATTTGGATATGTTTTATCCTTTTAGATATCATAAATGTGGTCTTCTGAATCTTAGAAGAAAAAAAAGAAAATATTAGTAATAAACTGCAGCCCAGCACATCTTTTGATAATATACAGGAATATAAACCTAAAACAAATAATTTTTATTTCTAGACTAGAGCACAACTTACTTCAACAAAAAATAGAAATACGAATGACCTAACTTTATACCTTAAGGAATGAGAAAAAAGAAGACTAAAGGAAGCCCAAAGGTAGTGGAAGGAAGAAAGTAACAAAGAGCAGAAATAAATACGATTAAAAAAATAATAGAAAA